CCCTCTCTCTTTGTCACATTCACACACACACACTGCAGTTCACCCCTGTCTTTGCGAGTGCAAGGCTGTGAGCTCTGGGCTGCCTCTGGAATGACAGCCCAGAGCTCATTCAGAGCCCCGAAATACAGACACACGCACCTGCACACGCCACCTCCACCCCACCTGCACCCCCAACTCTCCCTCTCTCTCCCTCTCTCTCCCTCCCTCTCGCCCGCGCCACCTCGCTCCGCACGGCCCCGGCCTGCGGGACCCCTCGCAGGCGCAGCCCCCGGAGGAGCAGCGCGCGGTTACCCTTCAGGACGACTCGGGCGGCCTCAGCTCCGAAACCCCCTCCCCACACAGCCCCTCCCGGGCGCGGCTGGAGGCGGGAGGGCCCCCGCCCGCCGGGGGGATACTCCACCTTTAGACTGGCAGTCGGCGCAGAACTTGTTCTCCTCCTCCAGCAGCAGGTTGGCCAGGACCGCCTGGTACCGATCCACGTCCTTCACCGACTTGCCCGTCATGGCCAGGGTGCCGGCGGGGGCAGAGGGCGACGCGCCCTCCTCGCCCCCAGACACCTTTGCTCCGTCCGGAGGTGAGGACTCCCAGCCCCCCGCCCAGGGGCACTTCCCGAGCGGGGCAGAGCCCTCTCCTCAGACCCCGCGCCCCGGCTCCAGTCAGCCGCGCCCGCCCCCACTCGGCAGCCCCTCAGTGCGGCGCCCCCTGGCGGGCTCAGGGAAAGGCTCGAGTCCAGAGAAAGCTGCCGAACCAGGGACCCTCGGCCCATGCAAAAGGGGCTCTCAGGACTCCTGGGTGCCGGGCACAGGAACGACCGCCTGGCCTTGCCTGTCTGCGAGCCGTGCGTCCCGGGGCCCGGTTTCCCAGGCAGCTGCCGCCTGCTCCGCCGCCACCTCTGCCGTCTACTTCCGGCAGCTCTTCCTCTCCACCTCCACCCAGCCCAGCCCGCGCATGCGCCACGCCCCCACCACTTCGTACTGGGCTCTTCCCTAGGCTCCGCCTCTCAGGAACCAATCAAAGCAGAAGTGAGGGGCGGGGCTTGGGTGGGGCAGAGGGCGGAGTGGACACGCCCCCTACATGCCCTTGGAAAAGAATGAATGGAACCTGGCAGAAAGGGAGTGGAGGGAGTGGAAGTAAAGGGAAACAGCGATGTGGGGAAGGCCTGGGGGTGGGGTGGATGCGGGTGGAGGGGATCAATGGGGGAGAAAAGGGGACATTTGTAATACTTTGAACAATAAAGATAAATAAATAAATAAATAAATAAATAAATAAATAAATAAATAAATAAATAAATAAATAAATAAATAAATAAATAAAAACAGCAATGAACATTTACTGAACTCTTACTATGTGCCAGGCACTGTGCTAATCTCGTCTCTTATACACATCTA